CCTGGCTCCGGTAAGTTCCGGCAAAGTCCCAGGGGAAGGCGGGAGCAGCTTGCCCTGGCTGGAGCGCAGCGCCTACCGGAGCAGGCCCGTCCCTGTCTAAAGGCAACCTGGGGCTCATCCGGACCTCTGCCTCTCTTATAGCTGGACCTTATCAGATCGAATCTTCCATTTCTTCCATAGTTGCTGTCTCAGTTCCGGCAGATGGAGCCATAGGATCATTTATGTTGCCAAGAAAGCGAACTGAAACTTAAAGCAGTCCCGATTTTGACAGTGCCTTATTTGACAATGCTCTTGTCTGTTTCTGCTTGTTTTGGTTCAGTTGATGTACTGTACTGGTTTTGTATCAACTTGTTCAAATAAAACTCCATAAAAGAACAAGGTGTTTTTATGTTGTAGTTACCTGGAGGGGAGTGGGCTGGGCTGGTAATTTGATTGTTATAAATCAAATAGCTTTCATATTATCTGAACCGTTCTGTTTGAACTGACTTGACTTTATCCACTGCTAGTTAATCACTAATGCTTCATGATACTCTAATCACATTTGTGTTAGGATGTTGTTTATAGAAACAGAATTCCTGGCAAATGGAACTTTCCACTCAGGTTGCAATTTTTTTTCCAGTCCTTGGTGTTGATACCAACTCTCTTCTCTGCCAATGAAGTGCCCTAAACACAAAGGTTATTAGGTCTTGCTCTCTTCTTGAAGTGTCAATGAATTTTGAATTCATCGTAGTGAAATTAAGAAAGTCAGTGGTATCAATGATGAGATGTTCTTCCACCTTCTTCCACCTGAAGCTTATAATCTGCTGGCAAGGAGTTAGGTAGGAGGAGGAGGATGTCCATTTCACCGGGCGGAGGAAAGGACTGGAATTTTACCCTTTGAGGTTAAATTCAGACTGATGCTTTATTTAGAAACTGGGGGAAGGTAAAATATGGGGAAGTCCCTTACTGCCCATGCCCTCTGTTAAAGCCTCAGCTGCTCTCTGCTCTGTGGAGAGCTCAGCCAGTTTGTACCGGACTGAATCTCTTGGAGGACTGCTTACTTGAATTCACTCTGGTTTCCAATATGGGATTGATAGTTAGTTACCACTTTTCTATGTGTGGTTATCAGAGTCAGAAGACACTTGTTACATCTCTTGAAGGAACTTAAACAGTTTTATATGAGAAGTAGAGAAGAGGAGTCAACAGTTGCTTGGTATTTCAGCATGTGTTCAGATACTGCAGCAGTTGGTGAGGCAATTTGGGGTTTTGTTTCTTTTGGTTTGGTTTTTGCACAGCTGAAATAGGGTGAAGAAATACTTTATTATATGGGAAGGTAGAAAGGTAAGAATCAGTTTGTCTACCATGTTTCTTTAATTCCACCTGTTTGGGACTAAATAGTGAGATTTAACAGCCACAAGTGTTTAAAGCTGCAGTTAATTAGGTTGTCTTTGTTGAGTGTGATCCTAACCCAACCCTGAATGTATCTGCATGTTCTCACGTGTTTGCTTGAATGTGAAATGAAATAAAATGCCTGCCCTTCCAGGGTGGGTTATGTGTGTGGTGATTTGGTTTGGTATGTGTGTGTCACCAGTTACAGTAGTCTGGCTGAGCAGTGGTTACTTCCTCAATCACATCCCTGGGGTGAGTAACACTGTCTTTAAGTGGTCTGCAGCTTCTATGTGCCTCTGCCTTTTCTTTTGTGTATTGTAATTGTTTCTCCCTTTAATTTAGGTTCTTAAGGAGATTGTGGAGTCACCATCCTTGGAGAAACTCAAAAGTTGTCTGGACACAGTTCTGGGTAGCTGTCTTTAGGGTGGCCCTGCTGGAGTAGGGGCTTTGAATCAGGTCATGTCCAGAAGTCCCTTCAACCTCAACAATTCTGTGATTCTGTGTCTGGCTGGGAGAGATGTACCCGGGGAAGTTAAAAAAGAAATAAATCTGATGTTTGTTGCTGGAAAACAGAGGAAAGAGGGAGCTGAAGAAGGAAAAAAATCTGTAGAGCTAGGACAAAGAATGCAAGGAATTGCAAAGCAGGTGGAGATAGCATATTGGAACAAGCAAAAGCCTGGACCTTGCTTTCAGTTTTGCTGATACCTCATTTGTCTATGAACTCCTGGTGGTTGGTTGGTGTCACTGATGGGATTCAACGAAGGTAATGCTTATGGTGGGAGGGAGAAGCGAGTGTGAAGGGAGATACTTTCTTAACAGTGGCCATTTTGAGCCCAGAGGTTTGCCCAGGCTTATCTGCTTAGAACACACAGTGACTTGCTCTTGGAAGCACTTGTCTCCCCTCGAGTTTGTGCAAACTGATTGCATCTACAACTGTCTGCATTGGCAGGATTTCCACTCACCTGTTTTCCCCAGTGCTAGAAAAGCAGACTTTGTCCATTTGTTCCAAACCTGGTTTCCACCACTGCCAGCACAGCCCCCCAGTTTGTGTCTCCTACTGACTGGAGGAGATACTGAGCTGCTGAATGTTTTTGCAGTGTGCTTGCATCTCTACAGGAAGGTTTATTTGTCTCTTCTCCCTTTGAGAGCCCAGAGTACGAGTTGGGTTGATCAAGCACTTTATTAGTAGCAGGGGGAATGTCATTGAAACCACACCTCTTCCTCAAGCTCTACTTTACTAAATCAGCATTTTAGATGATCTCCTGTAAATGGATACAAGTGGTAGGTTTTAATAAGGCGTAGCAATCTGAAATTCATTTAAATTATTCTAAAATTAATAACTTAGGAGGCTTGTCATGTTGAAAACTAAAGGTGCATTTGTGTTTTCCAGTCTGAACAGCTCATCTACATTATTGTCTTCGGTCTTTTCTGGATCCAGGCAGCAATAGCTGGAAGTGCTTGCACTCTGTCTCTGAGAGCCAAAAGCCTGGGGTATTTGTCTGCCAGGTCAGGTTTACAGGACAGAAGTGTCGTACTGCACACATCCCAGTAGAAATCAGCCCATGTTACCTAGTGGAAATGGGAGAAGGAGCCGTAAGTTTTAGTTGGTAATCTCAAAAATTTGGACTACTAATATTCTTAGAAAACTGCAAAAATGAAATGTTCAGTGTAAGTTTTGTAGGTTTATTTTTTTTAATATTTTTAATTATAGAGCTAGTAATTAGGTTGCAATGCAAGGCTTGACTTAAACTGGTTAAATAAAGCCCTTGCTACAAATATTACTTGTGTTACAGTATTAATCTTTCCTGAAAAGCTGAATCTGTGCTGCAGAAGAGCGTTACAGTTTTTATGCTGTTTGGGGTAAAAAAGGGGATTCTATTTTCAGATTTTTTTTTCATCTTGTCCTACAAACTGATCAGTGATTATAAGCAGAGTTCTGAGCAACTCCCCTCTGTATTGACTAGTACAAAAGCATTTACAGTGTCTTCTCTCAACGTGCCTCTAAACTGGCGTAGAAAATGCAGATTCTAGTCCTTGTTTGCCTCACTTTTCTAAAATATCAAAAACAATTGCCACTTTGCAATTGAGTGACTGAATGTATGTTGATAAGAACAGAGTTAAAATAGTGGGGGCAGTTGTTTCATGGGCTGACACAAAATCCAGAAGTTCAACAGTGGTCAAAGATTTTATTTTTCTAGCAATGTGACTGAAATGGGAGAAACAAAATTTATACTTACAGACTTCCCTACCAGCCAGTTTTTATCACCCAGGAAAGTATCCAAATCTTTCAGTAACTCGGGTGCTTTGTTGGTGAGGATATCATCAAACGCTCGTTTCTGGGGGGAAGAAAAACAGAAAGATGCACACCAGTGTGTGAACACTGTGGTCAGAAAAAGTGAATTTTGGGGGCTTGCTTTCTTGTGAAAAAGCAAGCTGAAATCTGAAAAAGTGAAATTGTTTGGTCTGACCCAACCTTAAAGTACTCTCAGTTCACTTTGGAAGAAGAAATGTGTTAACAACCAAGTCAGGGTTAATAGAGCAAACAGCAATTATTTAAGATACATAAAGAGATGCAGAGAAAACTGTCATTTGGATACACAGAAAGGGTCATTATAGAATTTAGGGACGCTAAACAAATTACCCATGAAAAGGATTAGAAGCTCAAAACATGACATTTGTGGCTCAGTGAGCTGTGTCTTAAGCCAGTTGCTCCTGTAATGGTCACCTTAGAGCTCCCAGTTGCTGAGACACAATGTGTGGGGTGATGATGCTCATTTACCTGTGCTAGCAGCCACCCAGCTGTGACATAACAGGAGCCCTGCCATAGATTTGAGAAGAATCCATCTACAAAATGCATTGCCAATGTCTCATATGGTCATTTCTTTGGGACTTTTGGATGATATGTTTTCTAGTGTACAGGTTCTCCAGTTTCCAGAATCCTTTAAACTCAGCCTTTGTGTGCTGTCAGTCAGATGTTGATCAGTTATCTTGCCTTACCAGCCCTTCTTGTTTGAGATGCAGGACCTCTCATTTGAGCTTTTGAACTCTATGAACTTTGTTAGCAGGCTTGTCTTTGAACTTTTATGGTAGCAAGTTATTTTGCTTTTTTGTCTCTGCAGCAATAAGTACCGAAGTGGATAAAATCTGTTTTTAAAGTATGGAGTCTGTTGAAGGGCTTGGGCCTTAGTATTTGTATGTTAGTGGAGGAAGGATGAGACGGTGTATGGTGGTGGTTTCCTGCTAGCTGTTCCCCACAGCAGAAAGTTTTATGGCTGTTTTTAAAGGATTAACTGTTTCCTTCAGAGAAGGAAGCTTTTTCTGTTTCCTCTCTTCTCACCTGCATTGAAGCAATCAAGGTTGCAGACAGTTGTGATCATCTGGTCTGACCCATCTAGCACAGTTTGGGCACTTAATGTACTTGTCCTAATTTTGGAGGACCATTCTAAGCCTTGGTTAAATAAATGCTGCAATACAGGAATTGAATTAACATGCATTTCATATATGTCAAAATAATTTTTAAAAAAAAAAAAAGTTTAGAAGAGACAGCAGCCTAAATGATCCCAAAAAATGCAGGCTGAAATAAAATCAGTATTTTTGTAAATGTGTTTGAACATTTCATGTTTTCTGTTGTCTATTAAGAGCTTACTAACTGAATGAGAGAGCTGCAAGTAACAGCTGGAAGTTTGCAGTCCATAAATTTCAGGCTTGTACCCTATGCTGTAGCATTTCCTTTTTTTAGGTAAGTTCCCTTCCGCCTCCTACAAAAAATTCCCAGACTCCCGTGTGATCATGACAGTAATGATCTCCCCAACTACAGAAGTACACATGAAGTACTGTGAAGCTGGTGGGGACGTGACCAGGATCCACTTTCTAGAGTGGTGCAACCTACTTGTTTCAACCCTGGAGCTCTGACCAAGCTGTTGCAATACCAGGTTGGGGTTGTGTGTACGTGTAGGGTGAAGTGAGAGTGACTGGCACAGAGGGAGCTTCCACTTTTGCTCCCTTCACCTTGCTTGGTTTTCTCTTTACTACTGGCTAGATAGCATAACACGTCTTTCTTAGGGCAATGTGTCTTCCTGTAATCACTTGTCAGGCCTGGGGAAGTTCTCTGACTTTACCTAAATCACTTAAATCTGGCCTTGTGAGACCATGTGATGCCACTTCTACCACAAGGTGGTGGCAGTGAACCCAGGACCGAAGGAGAACAGCTAATAGCGAGAAAACTGTTAGAGATTCCCAGAAAGTAAGTTTCTCCCTCTTCCCTGGCCCCACAACACTCCCTTGCATGCATACGTGCATATAGGCATTTAAGGGTTCTCTGTGAACTCTCTTCCCTCTGAAATTAGTCACTGGTGACATGATCTGGGTCCATTTCTTCAGAGAAGTTCTTGAGTACGAGCTGGGACACACAGGCGTTATTGTGGGAGTTTCCCTGTAAAGGAGTAGCAGTGCTGCTTCTACACACATTAGCAGTAGTGTGACTGGTCCTAAGTGATTTAAAAATCATGAGTCAGCCTCCTTTCCCCAAATTAGGAAACTTCAGGAAATCACAAGGACATTGATTAATTCACCTTTTTGAATACTAAAGTCCTCAAATACACTTTCAGATTTTTCCCTGCAAGATTTCAGAGTATTTTCATACTGTTTCATTTGGGTTTTACTGGGTTTGGGCAACATTTTTTAATCCATGGTTTCTGTAATGAGGTATTCTACTTGATCTGAAACATTTCTTTTGCATAAATGGACGGCACTGCTAGTTCCTGGTGAGACCTGTTGTTACACTGCCACTTTCCTAAAAGGGTCAAGTCATCTGCTTAGGTCAGAACGGCATGGAGCCGTTCTGATGCTGGAGTTACTCATCCATCACCCTCATTCCTCAGCAGCTGATCTGCATGCTTGTACTTGGGGCTCTGGTGAGAGGGACTGGACTGATGCCAGGAAAAAAAATGCTGTAGGTCTTTGCCATGGCTGTATGTTAAAGTAGCCATGGCAGCATGTTGGTCTGGTGTCAGTATTTGCAGAAGTACAGCTGAAGACCAAGGTGGGCCTGACAGTGAGGGGTGTGCTACCTGACCTCTTTAGCAGTGCCCACTCTCTTACACCATTCTGGTAACTGAAATAACATCATCGTGTCAGATGATGTTATTAAAGACTGATACTTATTAAAAACCAAGAAGAAATCAAGATGCAGAAGTGCAAAAAAGATGTGATGGAGCTGTTAATCTTGTTAAGTTAGCACAAAGAGAAAGACTTAAGCTTAGTTTGGACAAGATGCGGGTATTTCACAGTGGAAGTGTGGGGTGGAAGTGTTCTGTCTCTCCCCTTTGAACAACAGTCTGATGTCTGCATATATGGCATCCTTGCTTAAAGGTGAACTAATGATGGGCAGCTCATGATGGCCTCGTCATTTCCACCAAGGGCAAATAATCTGGTGAACGAGTCGTGAGGGAGCAGAAGGCCTTGGCTGGATTAACCTTGAAGAAGAACCACAGAGCTTCTCCAGCTCAGCGTTGCTGAGGTGAGGTGATGGACCCATGGGTTAACACATAGCAGTTTCTCCAGAGGAACTGCTCAGGTACAGTCATGGCTCATGGGCTATCTTTGTTTAAATCAGTGATTGTCTTACCCTGACATCCTGGTTTTTCTCTGCCCAAGGGAACAGCGTCATGAAATCATCTATGGTGTCCACAATGGCATCAGCTAGCGCCTGTTCCACAGGTGTTTGACCTGCCAGACCTGTGGAAAGCAAGCATGTGAAGGGTGGTTAGAGAGCCATGTGCAGCAATTTTTAACACCCCAAAGGTAAACTGTCCTTTATGAACTTTTACATAAAGATGCTCTCCATGGCTTTTTTGATTTATTTGACTCCTTGCATCCAGGCTCTTGCAGTTGTTCTTTCTGTATGGCTTCTCTATCCTTCTCTCTCTGCGTTCCACCATCCCAGCATGTTCAGTGAGGGAGGGTCAGCACTAATTCCTTTCTGTTAATCTTTCCCATTCCATCTTCTGGTCTTTCCATCTTAGTCAACACAATCTCCAAAAGTGCTTTAGTGAAAGTTGGCTTCTGTTTCCCTCTGTCCTGCCCATTCAGCCCTATTTTGAACCTTCTCATGCCATCCTGCTTGCTTTTGATTACTTGATTGTAATTAAGCACATTAGCTGAACTTTGTCTTGTTTACAAATCTGCTTTCCTCCCCTGTTGTCCTTTGGCTTGCCTGCAGTCTTGTTAATGCTACCACTTTTTTCCCCCCTCACCTCACCCTTGTTTCACAGACCTGCATTCATGCTTTCACCTCTGTGCAGGTTCAGGTCATCCTTCTCTTCCCCTCTGTTCCTTAAGCCTCACCTGGAAGCTCTGTGTTTCCCATGAACCATGGGCCCTTCCTGTGCCAAGTCATCTCTCTTACTGAGTCTTTATGCTTCTGAAGGTGAGTGGTGTGCCTCTCCTTTTGGGCATTGAGTTCTGTGAGTCTTCAGTAAAGACGTGGTGATAAGCACATAAAACTGCCATTTCTTAATCTTACAGGATTAGTGACATTAGTGATGAAGACTTAATGGCAGAACTAGCAAATTTTGACTTAAGAAGTTGAGAAGGGTTGTTTTTGTTTGGTTGGTTGGTTTTTTCCCCTTTTCCATGCATACTCTTTCCTACTGTAACACCGTAAGGAGATCAGCATGATCTCAGTGTGCTCCAGAACGTTGTCTTTGTGGCTGTTGCAGGACAATGGAGAAGATCATAGGGGAATGTCTAAGTCAGAACTTCAGACCATGAAAGAAGCTCCAGATCAGCCTCCCAACGGGAGGTGGAGAGAGGGAGTCAGCATGGGTGGGAAGGCAGGCTTTCTTATAGTTTTTCACGAGTGGGTGGTTGCTTCTCATTCTTTTCTCTTACAAGTAGTACATAGTATTGAGGGTGGAAGAAATTGGCAGGAATGTAGTATTGCAGATGTGCTTGGAAATACATTGTACTGGTGCCTTGATGAATAGCATCCCGCACTTCTGCCTGGTTCCTCGGTTGGAAAACGTGAGATATTTTGAAAGGCAGGTTACATCTTCTTGCTCAGTGTGAAAAAGTAGGACAGTGCTTGCTTCCCAGTCTCCCTCTTCAGTTTGCTGACGTTCAGCACACCACAAACACATCTGCCTTCAGCCAGACCAATTTTGCGGATGGTTTTGAATGACAGCCTGCTGACCAAAAGCAAGTGCTGACTACTCTCTTTGATTACTTGCATTACTAAGTCTTATATCACTTTATCTATCCGGTTGAGTACTTCCAGAGAATGGAAATGTATAAGGATGCAGTGATGTCACCATCTGATCAAATCTCTCTGCCATCTCAGAATCATTGTCTAAATCTGCTTCAGAGTGCTCTGCCTGCTGACTGGGATAATCTCTAATGCTTCCAAAAGCTCATCCTGAGCTCATCTCTTTGGTTAGCCTGGCAGTAAAAAGTTTAGCTCCTAGGGGAAACTACCCTGAGAGCCTTAGGAAAACCACAGGTACACAATTTCTGTTGTGCGGTGAGAGGTGAAAGTAAAGGATTTTTGGCTGGAGAAGTCAGCCCAAGCTCCAGATGATGTATGCAGAGCGGAAGCTCAGTCAGATATAAGGGGACATTATTTCTGACTTTTCCTTTAGGCATACACACAGTGCAAATACAGAGCTCAGCCACCAGACTTCATCTCTGAACACTGTAGCATTTCACACTACAGGTTATTTTGAACCTTTTTTTCTTTGGACTTTCTTACTTTCTACATGATATTTGAGTGACTCTAAACCTTGTCATACATCATCCTAGCAGATAGGCTGTGTTCTCTGTCTTCTTTCTGAGCTCAGAAACCCCTGAGATCTCATCATGATTGTCACAGCAGCCCCAGCCCAGTGAGAAAAGTTGGCACCAAATTAAGGTAAAGGCAACCCGCAAGTATGAGCTTGTCACCACACAGCACTCCTCAGTGCTTTTTTTAAACCACCACTCTTTAGCACCTTTAACAGCATCCTATATGGTCTGTTGTCTTTCTGTGGTCAGCACTTGGCACTGGCAGACGACCTACAGGTGCAATGAAAGGCTGATAACAGTCAGCTGTTTGTGCCTGGCAAAAGCAGTAGTACCAGGATTGCCATGCTGGTGTTGCCTTCGGCTTGGTTGGGCTTGCCAAGCTGTTGGTTTGTTTCTATATTTGCTGTGGTTGAATGTATTTTTCCTGAGCATGAAAGGTGGGTGCCTAACAGAGCAAGGAAATAAGCAAATATGTGTTACCTGCTTCTCTGGCAAGGAATCTTGCTATTGCCAGGCTCTGGTGAATGATAACTCCATCTACTTCCAGAATGGGGACTTTGCCAAATGGGATAGCTTGGAGGAGAAAGAGAAAAGAAAAAAAAAATTTAAAAAAATTAAGGCTATGACCAGATTATGCTGCAAGGGGGCAACCACAGAGTGAAAACCAGGTACTGCATTTCCTACTGCCCAGCCTTTGCTGTAAAAGCTGAATATGCTTCTACATATCCTGAATTCTTTACACAGGGAAACTTTTCAGTGACATTTTTGTTTTTCCTTCTCTTCTCTGCCCTTTCCTCCCCAAGACAGAGACTGCCAAGGGTAAGCAAAGTACTACTGAAGATTTTGTAGTGCAGAATCCAGCTAGGGTACGAAGAAGGAGGTTGGGTGAAGACTACAAAGCTGCTTTTTCATTTATGCTTGTTTTGCATTTATTATTAGTGATTCAGAGAAGTATCCATATTTTATAACTTATCTTGTTACGGACGTTTCACTTGACAGTCATCACCAAAAGACAAATATAGCTTTCACAGTGAACCACAACTAAGAAGATACTCAAATTTACTTAACTTGGTTTGCATTTAAAAAAACAATAAAAATTTCAGGCAGTCATGGGGAAGAAGTCTCCAGACTTTAAGTATAGGGGAAGACAAACCGTGCAGGCATCATGGATATCTAAGAGAGTTTAAGATAAATAAATTTTATTTTTCAGTTATTAATTTAATAGCATTATGTATGCAAAAACTTGGACTGCTGTTTTGCCATGTTTTAGAGAATCTGCTGGCATAATATCAAGTGGGACTGGAACCTTGGAACAAAGTTTAGTCTGTTAAAAACTGTCACATTGAGAGCAGTGGGAGCCCGCTCCTGAGAACACAGTGCTGTTCACCAGAGGAATTTTTAAGTCTCTGCATTTCAAAGGATGCTCTTTCATAATTTCTAAGTATATAATTGCAAGAGCTGGTCATAGCCAAATGCTTTGTACTCAATTTTAATCTGGATTACACTTTATGTAAATATGATATATGCTTATCTTCAGACTGTCTAGTGATGTAAAAGGGCAATTTTTGGGCAAGTGATAGCATTGGCTATTGGAATCATGTAAGGTGCTTTCAAACCCATGAAAACTGTCTTTGTGGGACAGCTAGAATGACACTTCTACTCCATGAGATTTTTCAGTAATTCATGAACAGGGAAAAATAACAAAACCTCATGTATTCGTGGCCTGTTTATCAAGGCAGCTTCATCAATGGTGAACACTGCCACGTAGCTCTGTAGTTTAGTGTGCATTTTGTGAATCATGTTAAATACAGGATCTTAAATGTCAAAACTGTATCTGCAAAATTAATTTGGCACCTGCACAAGACATCCAGGACTCCTCTGCATTTTTTTTCTGCATCTGAACACAGTACTCATGATACTTTATTTCCCCCTCTCCCAAGTTCTGCACACTGTGAAGCCATTCTAAATTCTGATGCTGATGATTAGCAGAAGCAAGAGAGCTCAAAGAGCATTAGTTGCTGTACTCCAGGGAGAAAGCATGCACTGCTTGTTTTTACTGAAACAATGATAGACTTGTTGCACAGAAGACTTTGGATGTTTATTATTCAGACAGCAGCGAGATCCTGGCAAGCGCATGTATCGCTTCATTGAGAATCCAGAGAGGAAAAGATAGCTCTGCAAATGCTAAACTGGAAAGCTCTCTGGTTGTGAAAATGAGAAAAGCCTTGTTTCTGTGGATTAACAGTGCAGAGTGCCCTGAGCATCCCTGCCTCCGAAGCCAGAGAGCTGTGAAATAACATTTGCTTATGCAGGATACCAAGCAAGTGTGAGCAGAGGGGACGGGAGTCCCTGCGACTGGTGGACATGCTGGTGTGGTCAGCCCACAGCCACCTTCAGATCCCCCCAGACCACAACAGGCTGTACACCAACGCCTGATAGCAGGTCACAGCAAGAGTGCAGCCAGCTCAGGAGCAATAGCTGCTGCCCCTGAAGGAGTTAACTGGACTTTTTTGGAACGCCAGTAGGAATGCCACTGGGCTGATGCAGTTTTGGCTAGGCCAACGTGACTAAGCCCAGCCTCTGTAGCAATAACTGTCAAAACATGATGAGTGCTGCTCAGGTTGGGAAACTGTAATTGCTTCATCTGGAAACTGAACAGACCATGTGTTTACATATAGGGGAAAGCCTAAAAGCCACAGGCTTGACTGACATTTCACTGTGTCAGTGACTACATAGGGAATGACAACCATTTTTTTTGTATAGATACATTATATTTTTTCAAGAAACCCTTAATTACAGGAAAAGGAGGGAGGAATATTTTTGACAGTTGAGGTGTCAAAGTGGTAGTAACCTCTTGTGTTCTGTTTCTCTGGAACCTGGCCATTTCTGGAGTCACTTTTTTCTTTTCCTAGCAGTTCACAGAATTCAAGGAAATTGCTATTCATTGCTTGTAAACATGAGTATTGGCTACAAAGTGCTTCCTACTCAGAGCTGAACTATCTTCACTGAGATTTGGTTATTCTTTCCTGGAAAAGAAACTGAGATTACAATTGAAAATATACAAATGCAGCTTTGTTTTGCATGAATAGAAATATTTATACACTTGCATGATTCATAACGCAAGCATAAAGTTAATAGATTTATTGCACATTGGCCTGTAAGCCTGTAATATCCAGAAGGTATTGTGCCAAGATTTATAATGAGGCTTGGGTTTTGGTTTTTTTGGTGGGTTTTTGGTGTGGGTTTTGTATTTGGTTGGTTGGTTGTGGGTGTTTTTTTGTGCTAAGAGGCAATATATCTATTGTCGTTACTAAACAGTGGACTTTTTCAAGCATAACAGATGGTAAACATGAGATGTTCCCTCCTTTTGTGTTCAAAATGCCCTTTGATTTTTTTTCTTATAAAGAAGAGGAAGGAAAAGTTGTGACCCTGAATATAAATGTAGATTATTTTTTTTTTCTTACTGATAGAGTATATGTATGTGACTTTTGTTGAGTATTGAGTTAATAAGCTGTAAACTAATGCATTTCTGAGAGATCTGAAGAAAACACACTTGTGCCTATATATCTTTCTTCTCCTTTTAGGAAGGACTCACTGGAGTATCTTGTATCTTGTTGAGTGCAGGGTGTGCTATTCTTGTACACCAGAATGTGTAGCAGATACCTAGGCTGCTTTACAGCTGAAGAAAATAGTAAAGGGCAGTCAAGGGGCAGAAAATATTTACAGTACATCTTCTCCATATTAGAGGAGAAAGTATAATGGCTTATAAAGTTCTGGTTTCAGTCTGGAACAGTTTAGAGGAAAAAAAAAAATCTGGCTTTGAAATGTTATTATCCAAAATTCCTGTAACAAGCCCAAAGGTTTTAGTAACCTGCAGTGAAGTATCTTTTTGCTCTTTTAACTGAACAGAACAGTTTCCTATATTAACAAAGTCATCAAAAACCCAGAAGACTGATTGAATGTTTGGCTGTTGTAGGCAGGAATGTGTTCCCTGTGAAAACTGGAGACTTTCTTTTCCAAGTGGAGAAAAGGTGAGTGGATTTGTTGCACAGTTCATCCTAAGGAAGGATGAAAAGAGCCCTCACACTGGATGAGTGCAGTTTGATTGCAGGAGGCAAGGGAGGATTTTGACAAATTACCTCCATGTGGCCTCGAGATACCTTGCTCGTAGCCTGTTTTTTGAAGGAAAACACACAGCCAGGCCATCTACTCAAGGGCTCCAAACTGCAGCAGAAAACCATCTGTCTGTATGTGAATTTAAGCTCTGTTACCCTTAGACTCATGGATATGGGCTTCTGTAGCTTGTTTTGAGCCTCCTGTGGTGCTTTTGGCCCTACCTCTGCACACAGAGAGCAGATGTTCAAGAATGTGAACACATCTGAATGTGCCATGTGTATAAGCATTGTAATAAAACTGCTATATTTTACATGGTTTTGGTGGAAGGCATGGTTTGTGTGGCTCCAGGTGAACAAATCACACAGATAGGTTCCTGCCAGGCTCCTGCAACAGATGAGCAAGTGAAGGAGCTGGCCTGTGAAGCTGGAGCAGGAGAGGACTCTCATTTGGGAAGAATGAGGTGTGTGAGGGTAAGTTGTGAAACAACAGGCGTTGAAGAGCCATCATGAATGCAGAGTTAAGCCCAAGGAGTGCAGGCTGGAAGGATGTGTGTGCCACTTCAGTAGTTTTTCTTCAGCCTTGATCAGTTAGGGGGCCTGCTTCATACTGATGTCAGTTTATACCCTTGTGTATCTGTCTGGATGTCCTTTCCATGTTTTTCAAAACAACGTTGTCTTGCAATGTTTCTGATTCCCACTTGAGCAAATACATTTTAAGAAGGAAAACTAGAAAAATCTGTTGCCATCATCGTACGTACAGAGTCATCTCTCAAGGATGTACAAAATATGACCTTTCTTTTTTAGTTTGTGCTTGCTTTGTTGCTCATCTGAAGTAGAAGGTGCTATGAATGCTTGTGTTGATTTCCAGATTTAGATTGAAAACTCACTGAAAAGAAGGAACAGGGTTTTTTAAAAGCATGCTCTTTGGGTAACTAAACCTGTAGTCTTCCTGAAATTGAAATTTCGTCATCAAAGTCTTGTTTTTCCTGTTACCTTGGTTATTCATTGGTTTTAGCACTGCATGCTGAAATGAAATCTGCACAGACTTACAGAGTGTGAGTGTAAGTCGTCAGACTGATCTGCAGTCTCTCTTCTCATTTTAGGAAGGACTCACTCAAGTGTCTGGGCAATGTTTAGGAGTTGGATGAGTTCCTTCACATATATACACTTTAATTTTGCTTGTCTTCTGTGAGTAGAACTGTGGTGTTTATACAGTCCCTGGTGGATATGAAGCAGGGGTGATGAGGCCTGATGTGTGTTAAAAGCAAAGACGTCTGTATAACTTGTCTCCATCCTATGAAGCCCCTAAAGGCTATGATAACTTCCCATCCTGGCATGCCTGTAAGTCCTTACTAGTGCTCAGGCCTTCCCTTTGACCGTGAGCTCCTCACTCATCCTTCTGGGCACAACCTAGTGGATGGTGCTTGTGTGGGCCTGTTTTTCTGTCAGGAAGGGAAA